AATTTCCAAAATTCATCATCTGTGGGAATTGAACCTTAGACCTGCCACTTGAGGGTTGACAACCTATTCACTTCACTGGGTCACCACACCCTGGGTTTGTTGTTAGTAAAAGATATTAAGTACTAATTTAATTTGATTAAATTCTTGTTTGATTGAAGAGTATAAGTTATTAGAGATTTGTGGTTTATTAATAAGATTTTCAGTATATTTGGTTTTATATTCAATAAAAAGATTATAAAAGTTGGATAATTGTAGATAGTTTTTTAAATATTATATTTGTTTATATCTATAAAAGAGTATATGTTGTTTAAAGGTTTGTCATTTTTAATTTTCTGAATTGTTTTAATATTTTTATAAAAAATATTTTTTAAAGCAGCTTTAGTAAGTGCTTTAAGTATTTTTTTCCAGATTATATTAAGTTCATTTTGATTTGAAATATTAAATATTTTGGTTTTGTAATTAGTAAAGACTTTGTAATATTTGATTTAAATAATTTTCAATATTTTTCTTTGAACAGGATTTCCAAAGAAAGTTTTTTTTTTTATATTGTTTAGAGAGTTTTGTTTTGTTAATAGTTATAGAAATTTCAAAAATAATAATTTTAGAATCTGATTCAGATAAGATATCCTCATGAATATTAGTATATTTAATTTATTGCATTTTGCAAAAAGATGTAAACATGTGATTTTAGTGATGATGGTTGCGGAGAATCATTGAGATTCTAAATATAAAATCCAAATTTAAGAATCTATATAAAATTATAATTATGTATTTATTAATTACGCAATTAATCAATAAAAAGCTATATATATAAAATCATAATTACATATTTATTAATTACGCAATTAATTAATAAAAAGCTATATATATATATTTGTTTTAATTTTTTGTTGATTTATTTGCTTATTGTATATATTGATATCAATTAATCTCTTCAACATACCATTCTAATGACTGATGCTCAAGAGACAAAACTAAAATATCGCTGTGGAACTTGTTTTAGCTATTATAAATGTTTGTATTGTGGGATTGATTTGCAACAGCAAAGATGCAATTGCAACTTAACAGATGTGCCACACAAGGATAATCAAACAGAAGCTGTTAAATATGCATTTACACGAGTCTTTAAGCCAAACTGTATAAAAGAACAAGTGGAATATATTTGTCAAAAAATAGAGGTTTACAATTACTCTCTAAGTTCAAAAGAAGCTTTTAATTTCTCTTTATGTTTTCATTACAATAGTATATTATTAAGATTATCTTTGAAGGCAAAAAAACATAAAGCAATATCAACTCCTGCAGCCCTTGCAGCTCCCACAGTTATGAATATAGCAAGTTTTTCAGAAATTGAATTATATGATCTTACTACTCCAGAAGATGAACCTAACGAATTTGAAGAAAGGGAATGGGAGTTTACTGATAATAGAAATAATGAACATAATGACAATGAATCTTTATTTGATGAAGATAGCAAATACGAGTATAATTATAGGATTGTTATTAACAAATGGTACAACTATTCCTGCCAAATGGTATACATCCAAGGTAACAACAATTGATGAATTGCTTTTAGAACTTCATATAAATATTGAAACCTTAACAAAAAGAAGATCAATCGAATCAAGTTATTATTGTATTACATTTAAACCTGAAAAGGCAACAGGAGTAGGTACTCAATTAGTAAATAATCATAACTTCAAAAAGTTCCAAGCTGATTACTGGAAATATATTTCTAAAAATATCAATATAGTTTTTTTTGTAACTTTTATTAATGTAATTATAATCTTTTTTAAGAGTTTATTGTATAATATATAAATAATAATAATGATAATATATATCTATATAATTAGGATCTTGAGTTAGACAAAAATTCAGATAATGATACTGTTACAAATTTTAAAAACAAGAATTCTATTCCTAAAGCTTTAAATTTATCTCCAAATGAATTATTAATAGCAAAAAACGTTTTAGAAATTCGTAAAAAAAACCATTGTCTTATTCATTACCAATCTTATTCAAATAAGGATAGTGATAAAGAAAACTATATCAAAATCACATTTATGATATTTTCAATTTGGGCATTTGAAATTGTAAGAGAAATTTTCATAATAAATTAAAAAAAATTGTTGATATTTACATTGAAATTTATAAAAACAATTTTTTTATTATCAGATATTTTTTTTTATTCATTAAATTTGAATCAATTTTTATCACTTTTATTACATATTTTCTTTAACTATTATGAATTTGCAAGAAAATAACAATATATTTTTTGATTTTATATAAAGAATAAAGCGATGGCATCACCAATTGAACCACCTATGCATCCAATATTTGCATATAAACATCAGTCAAAAAAAAATAACCTTTAATACCATTATCTTCAGAATTATTACAAGAATCTTCATCATTATCATCATTACAAGCTTCTTCATATTCAACATTACAAGCATCTTTACCATTAGCACCCTTACATGTTACTCCATCTTTAGCACCATTACAAATATCTTTCCTTCAGCATCACTACAAGCTACGTCACCATCAGCACTATTACAAGCTACTTCACCATCAGCACTATTACAAATTCCTTCACCTTTGGTGACATTACAAGCAACATTCCTATTACAATCTAATTTAATACAACAGCCAAATTTTTTTCAATATTCAATGTATCCAGAACAATTCTATATTCCATCACCAATTTACAGTCCATTCATATCATATTTTTCATCACAATTTCATGGAACACCTTTTTAAGCACCTATTCAGCCATCTTTACAACCAAGCTTTAAACCTACACTTGAAGATTTTTTAAAGCATATTGATGAATGTGAAGGCACTGAAAATTATTATCAAGGATTTTTATTAAAATTTCAACAACAGAAGATTTCAATATGATTGCTTTCTAAACTATCAAATAAAGACTTTGAAAAATGCGATATAGATACAATTGGTGCACAGCAAACTCTTCGTGATTATGCTGCAAGATACAATATATATTTTACATCAATAAATAATACATTTCCTATAGAAAAAACCTTTATTTATAACCTGCCACATTAAAAAAATTATTAGAAAATTCAGAGGTAATTTGGGAGCATGCAACCAATAATGAATATTTTGGATCCAAACAACTTTCTATGAAATACTGATGTTTTTTTAAAAAACTTTTTATAGTTGAGAAAGCTAATTCTATTGGATTGAGGTCAGGAGAATATGTAGGAAGGAACTCTACATGTATACCAAATGCATTTAAATATTCTAACAATCCATTATCATGATGTATTCTAGCATTATCGAGTATTAAAACAGTTCTTGTATGTGGGAATGTATTCATTTGTAGTAGCTAAAAGACAATTAAAAATATATTTATGATTTGTATAAAATAAATACTTTTATTATAATTACATACCACTTGAGTAATTACAAATTCTTTAAATTTCAACTTTGTACAACTGTTTTCCATAATATCAACAGCAATAATGCCATCTAAAGTAAGTGCAGGCAAGATTGTATACCACTTACCACGAAGAAATACTATTTTTTTAACAGTTTTAGTATTTATTTGTGAATATTCATATGCTCTAACAATAGTTCAATCATCTTTTGATGATTTATCTAAAAAAACTAATTGCTCTCTTTTGTATTGGGAACCAATATGTGCCATAAAGGCACTACGAAGCAGTTCATTACGTGCTTTGGCTGCTTTATGTAGCTAAAATAAAAATTTTAAAGATTATATTACTTTACACTATGCTTGTACTAATTATATCAAAAAAAAATAATACCTTTTTTCGTGATATTTCACAATAAGTCAATGAACGCCACAGAGTAGAAATTGAGACTTTTTTGCCTGATCGAATTTTCATTTGCAATGCAATTTCATCAAGATATAAGCTCACATTTTCTTGAATAATATTTCGTAGGATCTATTATTTAACAAAAT